GCGCAATGGTTCGCTTGTTCTCCAGGACATGTTACCAATTCGAGCTGGATCTGATGCATTACATTTTGAAGTTATGACAGATAGTCAACAACAAGATTACTTGGATTCTAAAGATATAGGTGAAATCAAAGGTGCCAAATTAACCGATGCTGGAATACTCAAACCTGTAGCTATGTGGACATCAGATTCAGGTATATTTTCCTATTTATCGTAGAATAACTTAATCATTTTAATTATGAATTTTTGTATAGGTATTGACACATTTGATCTAGGTCAAAATATAGCAGGATGGTGTCGTTTGAGATTTCAGGGTCCACGTGGTTTTGGTGTCTACATTAGTTATGACGAAGTTCTAACCCAACCAGTTGTATCTACTAAGTAATATCTTAATAATTTGATATATATTGTCATAGTTATTTATTTTTAGTCATTCTACTCGCAATATCTATACAGAAAACCTGCGTGACGCTACAGCATCTAACACTTATATATTGCGGGGAGATTCTGTTAGTGAAATCTATGAATCGACGTATGATATTTTTTTTTTTTACTAACTATCATTTATTTTTGACTTTTTCTCCTTAGTTTCACTATTCATGGTTTTCGTTATCTGTCTATTTTTGGTCCACCGAACGAGTTGACACTCGATGATGTCGAATGTCCATTTGTACATAATGAAACAACGTTGAAAAGTCATTTTTCTACGAGCAATCAAATCATCAATCAAATTCAACATAACATTCTATGAGCTCAATTGAGTATTCTCATGTCTGTGCCTATTGATTGGTCTGTTATATTCATATATTTGTTATTAACAAGCTTTTTTCTTCACTCTTTTGTAATACACAACGTGATGAACGTCGAGGATGAATGAGTGTTGCAGCATGGTACAATTTTGATTTAATCAAATTCTATCATAACTTTCTCAATATGATTGTTGATGATCAACTAGCTAATGGTGAATTATCTGATTTTTTTGCCGGTTGGTAATAATCCATCTAAACCAAATTGGCGTAGCAATTATCCATCTGATCCAAATTGGGGTTCCGCAATGCCAACAATAACTTGGCAAGTATATCGACACTATAGTGATGTTCAAACATTGAAAGATTATTATGATCATATTGTTGCATATGTGAAATATCTTCATGGTATTTACAATGCAACAGGTCTTGCTAATTTTACTGTTCGATTTGGTGATTGGATTCCACCACCACCAGAGCCTATGACAAATGGAAGTCTAATTGGATCATTTGGTTTTCTTCGTGATGTCAACCTTTTAATCAATATGTCTCAAGTACTTGGTAAAAAAGAAGATACTGATACCTATTCAGCATTATATCAAAAACTTGTTGAGGAATTTCACCAAGCTTTTTATAATACTTCGTAGAATTTTTATGCGGATGGAATGCAAGCAGCACAAGTATTAGCTTTAGCATTACCCGATGTTATACCGGCAAATGTTCGAGGTGCAGTTATCAATCAACTCATTACTGATATCAATCAAAAAGGTAATCATATGACAACAGGTATCGTATCAACAGCTCAAATTTATCCAATACTTTCGGACAATGGACATCATGATTTGGCACTTGAATTGATATCATCGACAACTTATCCATCCTATGGTTATATGTTCAACAATCCTTACGAAAATGCTACTACTACATGGGAACTTTGGAATACACCATTGACAGGACCTGCTATGAACTCTCATAATCAAGCTATGTATGGTAGTGTTGGTGCATGGTTTTATTCCCATTTAGCTGGTATTGATCTTTCATCAAACATGATTACTATTCGACCTCGAATGGCTTCTGAGAGTAAAAAACACATTATGTCAAAATTAGATTGTCAATTGAGCACATTATATGGTCTCGTTCATGTTTCCTATACGCGTGATGAACGTGATACTATTTCCAATTCAATTTTACTTCGTGTTACTATACCACCAAATGCACAAGCTCGTGTTATATTTGAACCATTATTTGTTGGTGGACAATATAAAACATTGATCGAAGGTAATAAAGTTATTTGGTCATCGGATTTCGATACTATGAATGTTTAAGGATTTGATATTGAAAAAGATTCAACAATGGGTTTAATTTAATGACAGTACATATTGATTCAGGTCAATATGAATTTCAAGCATTATGCCAATGAATACATGTTTGAAGAAAGTTATCAATCCTTTGTGTGTGCGTGTGATGTTTTGTCTCGATATTATAAGAAGTGATTAAGGATAACTTGCATGAATAAAAAAATAATTAGTTAAATATAAAACGGTTTTATGCTGTTTTCATTGTACATATTTCATCTTGTTATTCATCAGAAAACACAATTGCCTTCAAATTTAGATTGGCAATAGCTCGAACTTTTAGCTGCTCACGTCAACTTTCTTCTTGATGTTTTACTCATAAAGCTGCAAATGTCTGTTTTACTTGGAAATGTGCTTCACTAAAAAGAAAAATTAATGGTGAATCGAATCTTAATATTTTTGCTTGAACTCTTGTATTTTAGATCTCTTAGAGTGAATTCTCTTTTTAATAGACGCGCCATGAAATTCTCTACAAAATCATGCCTATACTTTTATTTCAGAACTTCAATCAAGAAAACTAAACAAATTATAGACGAGGCGCAAAAAAAACGAAAACTTTGTATATTCGAAATTTTTTGGAAGTTGAACTTTTTCTTCTTCTATTATTTCCATGAAAAGTGAGAACTCAGTTTGTGGTTGGTACTTTTGAACGCATTCTTTCTCTTTATCTCTAGAAAAAAAGAGATTTTTTCTTTTTTAGAGTGGATGATATTCCCGAGAATGAACTTCCAAAAGTTGAAAACCTTCAGTTTCCAACAATGTGCCTAAGTAAGAAACAGAAAATGTGATCAAAGTTTGATTTTGCAGTTAGACCGAGAAAGACAATCATTTCAGATCAAAACAGAACGAATCCGATCGAAAAATCTTTTGTTTTGATAGAGTTACGAAGTTTCTACTGGAAGATCCAATATACGAAGAAAGTTCATAGTTAATTTTTCTTTTTCATGAAACACTTTCCTAAGTCTATAACTTTCTTACAATATGAGTTAGTCGAGTCAATGAAAAGGCCATTTTGTAGAGCATGTTTTGCTGCATCTTTTCTTACTAGAGACAAATTTACAAATATGTGTTTGACAAAAACAAATTTTATTATACGAATCCAGTAAGGACTTCTGACCCATCCTTTATAGATTCCTTTGTTAATGTTCTAACAGTCATATGTGAAAATCTTTATACAACATTTGAAAAATAGACATTAAACTTGATCAACAATATTTGTTTTTATTTACTTTATTTTTTTAACATATTAAAAAATAACCTTCATACTTGTTAACAGAACTTGAGATACAAAGAAGAAAAAAAAAAAGAAGAGAACAATAGTAAAGAAAAAAAAAAATTTTTCTCGTTAAAAAAAAATAGCGCGAATCAAATATAAATTGCCTAATTTTCTATATATGTATATAGATAATATCAAATATACTTAACTGAGTGATATCATTTAACTTATCTAAATGTATATCTGACATTTTCAAATATATAATATTTAACAGTAACAAAAAAAAAAAGTAGGAAAATAATAGAAATAAAATAATTCTATTTCGATAAATTAATTTATCGGTTGAAGAAAAAAATCTAGTAAAATCATTTTAAAATTCAGTTACGGATTTATTTACATTTCATTTCTTTTGTTTTTTATTAGATGATTCAATTTTTGTTGATGTTATTGGTAAATTTTCTTGATCATTATCACTTACTAATGTTAATACAATTAAATTTTGATAACGATTTTTTTCATTTTCAATTTTTCGTTCTTCATGATTAAATGAATTTATATCAATTTCTTGTAATGGTTGTCTTTTTTTAGTTGATTGTAATTGAATTGTTGAATAATCGATTTGATTATTTATAATTGAATCAGATTCGAAACTTGTTTCATGAATTGTTGATAATTCAAGACATCGATATGATTTACTAAATCAAGCAAAAAAAAAAAGAAAATTAGAATAAATAATAAATTTATTTGTTTTTACATTTGTCGATATTGATTTTTATTTGATAATGTTGTTTGTTCTAATTGATCATGAGTTTTTTCTTTAGTATTTGATTGCTCAACAAATACTGATTCTATAGGAAAATTAATTACTTTTTCTTTAAGACATACATCTGTTGTTTGATCAGTTACACTTAATGTTAGTCTCAAAGGATTTCTATATGAAAATAATTAATAAAGATTATCTATTCAAAATATACAAACTGTAAAAGATCAGAAGAAGTCGTTGCTCGTAATTTAGTTGTTACATTCTCATAATCATCATTATTTTCAATAAATACAGGTAAATCTACTCTTTGTTTAGCACATAAATAAGCGATTGACCGAAGAAAATGATGATCAGTTAATGTAGACTAAAATAATACAAAAAAAATTTTTTTTTTTAAATCTTAAAATAATAATTTTAAACAGACTTGATTTGGTGATGTACAAGTAATAAATGATTGTATTGTTTGAAAACATTGACAAAATTCTTTAATAATTTCTTTTATTATCAATTCATTTTGATTAAATGATATATTTTTACATAATTGTTTTAAAATTAATTCTAATAATTTACGTAAAGTCACACTTAAAAAACAAAAGTAAAAAATAATAAAATTATTTTTGAAAGAAAAAGAAAATTATTTTTACATTGATTCAATTTTTAAATATTTATTCTCTTCAATTATCATTTGTAATTGTTCAATAAAATCAAAAAATTCTCTTATATCAATATAATATTTATCAAGTATATGAAATAATTCATCATCATCATCTTCATTATTTATGAAATCTTGTTGTAATGATGACGTACGATTTAATATTAATTCTTTATGTCGAAGAAATGAAAGAAGAATTTGATGTATTGTTAAATATTCATTTTTTGATAAATGTTTCAATCCAACAATTATTTCTCGTTCAATACCATTGCGTGCACATGTAACAAGACAATGTATAAGTACATGTTCATTGCGTGTATCCAATAATAATGATAAATATGTACATAATATATGTTTTATAGAATTCTATGTACAGAAAAAAAAAATCAAATTTCTTTTATAAAACAGTTTAAGATCTAATGAGAATAATAATCTCTCTATTTTCCTACAATATGCGCAAGCATTGACTTTTCATATAGTGAAAAAACAGAGGAAATACAAAAGTGAAAATACTAATACATACACTAGACATCATAAAGTACTAGATGGTGAAAGCATTAGTTCTCGAGCTTATCTAGTTTACTTATATTACACAAAACAAAATAATGTACTAGAAAGTAGGAAAATAATTTTCGTACATAAGATGCACAGAGTTTGTGATCATGACGAGTGATATTTTTTGTAATCTTAAATAAAAACAGTCATTTTCTGATAAGATTAAGACTGATATTTCTTCGAATAATTAAAGATATAAGATGATGTTAATAATATTTAATTGATTAAGAAAAAATTTTTGATTAATACTCACTTTTCTATTTGTTTTTTCAATTGATATTTTTCTATTAACAATTAACTTAAACAAATTTTCTTTTGTTTCATTTGTTATTAATTTAGTTTTGACATTATAAACACAACATGATGATGATAATTCTAATAAATATTCGAAAAGTAATCGATCAATATCATTTTTAATATTATTAATTGATAAAATAATTGTATTAATAAATGATTCTAATTTTAATTGATGAAAAAGATCAATGATATCAATTAAATCATATTGATTTAAATAATTATTATAATTTTCAAGTATTAAATCATTTTTAATTTGTTTTAATTTATTTTTACATAATTGAAAAAATTCAAATAATGATGAAGATTGAATTAATTGATAAATAATAAACATATCATAAAAGCCAATTATATTATTTATTAATTTTATTTCATTTGAATAAATTTTTGTAAAATAATAATCAACAATCCATGATGATATTGATGAAGATGATTGAAGACAAATTAAAAATGAATCTTTAGAATCAATATTTAAATTTTGAAGAATTTCTTCTTCATCTTCAATACTTTCAATTATCAATTTAATCTGCATTGATCTTTTTGTTTTTGAAAAAAAAATTAATCTAAAATTAATTACACGCATGTTACGATTCCTTTTCCTTTCTGTTTGCACTCAAATTACATATATATCTGTGTGTATATGTGTATATATGTATACACCGTACACCACTTTATTCGGAAAAGAAAGTCCATAAAGTTTAAATGTTAACATATATATCTAGAGAAGAGAAGAGAACCAGTTAAAAATCAAAAAAAGATGAAAACAAGATAGAGGATAATATATGCACAGTGAATATGTATAAGTGCGACATCACTGTAACAACACACAAACATAGATTTAATATTGCAAGGGAAAAAAAAAGAGAACACCAATATTGTTCGAATATTTATCATCACAATACAACGGAAAAGAAAAATAAATGATTAATTAAATAATTGAAAATCTCTGTTGCACAATAAATCGAATAATAAAAAAAAAGAAAAATTTTATTCTTGTACTTTGATAATTAAAAGTTTTCCTTTTGGATCATCAAATCGATCATTCGATTTAGTATTCATCATACGATAAATGCTAAATAATAATATACCTAAACAAAGTAAACTTGATGTTAAACCCATCCATATACCATTTGTAAAAAATGACGTACAATAATTTGGTGAACCAAAATATGAACCATTCTCAATAAATGGTTGAAACTTCAAAATAAAAAAAACTAAAATTTAACATTTGTTTAGTTATTCATTTTCTTCTATATTTGTTAAAAAGAATTTATTTTTAAAATCATATAAACCATATTTTGATGAAGAGTTATATTTAACAAATATTGCAGCTTTACATACATATGAATAATTTGATGGTGTTTCCATTTGACTATGCATACCATAAGCAAAATAACGATATTCAGAATCATTCATTATCGCTTTTTCTAAATATCAATAGCGATTAGTTACTTTTGCAAGTAAACTAAAAAGAAAAATATTTTAATTTTCAACATGAAAACATTGAATTTAAATACTAAATATATGTCACTGGAACGGTATCATTTGTTCCATCATCCTAATATAAATCAAGACTAAATAGAAAAATAAAATAAATACTATCAAATTCCCCTTTTTTTTTAAAAAAAGCTTGTTAGCGCAGCTCCTGCGGAGCTGAAATGTGGAACTCACATATATCCTTAAATCTTAATATTCTAATACATCGTATGTAAACTGAAAAATTCCGTGTACACTGTAGTTGTTTTCATTGATAGTCAATGACAAGAGCGACACTTTGTTATTTATTTCTTCATTTAAAACAGAAAATTTTTTTTTGTTTCAGAGCGCCCTATTTTTATTTTGCATTGTTGCTATTCGCTCATTATCTTTTATTCTTTTTAATTCATTTTTCGTAATTCAACATTTTTATTATTATAATCATTAAATTAATCAGCAAACAAATCTGTTTCACATATCCATGATACATACAGAAGATCTTATGCACTATTATATATATTAATCAGCTCACAAACACTGATGTTGATTATCTTTCAAAATTATAACTTGATCAATTTTT